TTCTTGTCTGTTCAGATGTGACAAGGAAGTGGCATGTGGGACGTCACCAAAATCCTGTGTCTAAAAAATAAAAAAGCACTGAGAAGCCAATAAGAAGCAACTTAATTACACTAGAAGTGATAAAGATTTTCCTAACTTACAACATTGTTTGAAACGTGCATTTAAAACAGGACCTATCTTCTCCTTTAGGGTATTTCAATGATTGCTCCTTTCAGATTTGCCACATTAACTTTTCAGCATCATATAAGCCTGATAGGGTACATCTTTGTTTCCTTATTTCTTTTCAATTAGTCGGTATCATTTATCACCCTGATAAAAACTTGTAACGGCTGTTTCTCTCCTGCTTTTCTTTGCGTTATAAAAGCCCTAGGGCTAATTAAGGCACTGATCCTGAAACAAAGCTCTTTAAACTTTATTGCCAGGAACAGTCAGATTGAATTGGCAGTATAGTGAAGTGTGCATATACCTATTTACAAGGTCAGGTTGCTACCAAAACTTTTTATTCTTTGTTATATAATAATGCATTAATCTGGAGGGGGAAAGTATATCCCCAACAGATAGATACAAAAAACCCTGCTCTTGTTGCCCACCTCCATCCATCCACTTCTCGCTGGGACTACCAGCTGCCATAGCACTGATATCTTATGAATCTGATATCCTTTGGCCTTAAGGTGGAAGGCAAAGAATGGATTGTGATGGGTAGCCACCAACATTTCCATTGTGGACGGGCCGTGGCTCAGTGGTAGAGCATCTGCTTTGCAAGCAGAAGGTGCCAGGTTCAATCCCTGGCTTGGGAGAGAATCCTGCCTGAAACCCTATGGAGCCAGTGTAGACAATACTAAGCTAGATAGGCTAATGATCTCACTTGGTATAAGGCAGCTTCCTATGTTCCTGTGATTCACTGCCTTTGCTCCCCCCGGACATGCAGGGCTCCCTTCTTACTTGGGAAGCAGCAGTGAGGAATGCATGGGGCTGACTCCCAGACGCCCAAGGGAAATGACAGCGGATATTCCCCCACAATGACACTATCTCAGCCAGCACAATCAACTCTCTGTCTTTAATTCTAAGTTAAAGGGCCAGGGGGTCTGAAGGCTGAAGATTAACCCAGAGAGCTGAGCCTACAACCTGTCGTAGCCTCTCTCTCATGTACGAGCTGCCTCAGTACAGTGGTATCTTGGGTTACAAACACCTTGGGTTACAAACACTTCGGGTTACAGACTCTACTAACCTGGAAGTAGTACCTCGGGTTAAGAACTTTACCTCAGGATGAGAACACAAATCACGTGCTGGCTGAGCGGCGGCAGCGGGAGGCCCCATTAGCTAAAGTGGTACCTCAGGTTAAGAATGGTTTCAGGTTAAGAATGGACCTCCGGAACGAATTAAGTTTGTAAGCAGAGGTGCCACTGTATTGTGTAGTTTCTTCTCAGGCTTTCATCTAGGAGCAATGGGGAAACCTCCAAGGGAGTGGAATGACCAGTGTCATGGGAGGCAAGGCACAGGAAAGTACTGCTCTGGGATGCTTTTCAGAGGAGATGATGGTGTCAGCTGCTGAAGCATTGGGGTGATGATTGATCAACCCTCCTTGATCTGGCAGATGAGGGAGGTGAAAATGAAGCAGAGAGAAGGAGTGGGGAACCTTTGGTCCTCCAGATGTTGCTAAACTACAACTCCCATCCATCCCAGCAAGCCTGGGCAATGGCCCAGGATAATGGGTGTTGTAGTTTAGCAAAATCTGGAGGCCAAAGCTTCTACACCCTGAGCACAGAGGAAACTGGAGAATGAGTAAGAAAAGCAAGCAGAGGCTGCATATGTCTTTTCTTTTAAGGCGTTCCTACTTTACACTGTTTAAATGATAAGACTTGCATTTGTTTTGTTTGCATTTGGTTGTTTGCATTTCTAATTAAAAAACTGAACTTGCATTTCATCTGGCTGAATATTTTTTGTTAAATCTCAGTATGTTTTGCAAGTTGAACCAATGCAGTCAATTCAAAGGTGAATTTATTTTGCTTGCTTGCTTCCAGGAAACTATATGCATAAGATTGCAGTCATGATGATCTTAATAAGTTGGGCATTATGCCACATGCTGCTGCTGTTGATGATATAATAATGGATCAACACAGACGTCTGCATTTTTGGATTCTCTTTGGGGGTATGACTGTGGGAGCTGTCACGATGAGTCCTGCACTTCAACATTTACCGTTACACCACTGGGAGTGACAAATTGCAGGCTGAGCTAAAGCTAGTTGGAGAAAAGCTTTGTGCATTTAAGTGAGTCCCAGTGCGGCTGCTGGTGTAGTTGCAGTGTCAGGCAAAAAAGTCATTGGATTTGCAACCCTATGCCTATTTACCAGGGGGGAAGTGATCCACATTGAACTAAACCAGGCTAACTTCTGATGCTTGCAATGTATAGACTTGCAATGCTGGAGAGCATAGTGATGCAGTTGCTTTAAGAAAACACATGTGGAAATTCAATAACCATTTTAATTGTGCATATATGTGCATATATGCATGCAAGATTAATTTTAGGGTGCAGGATGGATGGATGGCTTCTTTGAATTCCGTATAGTTGCTTGCATTTTATTGGAAATGTATTTAAAAATTGGAATGTAATAAACTTGAAACAAATTCTACCAAAGTGCATGTACTTTAGATAACTCATTATTTTTATTGAGGCAGAATTCCAAACATTTGACAGTTGGCTCGTGAAACAGGGCAGTTTTGCATTCAGTGTTGGGGGCTCATTTTCTCCCTGGTGGTGCTCTCTGCCATGCACAGAAGTGCCTAAGGGAAAGAAAATATCCAGTTCTATTTTTAGCCGCACACCTTGGAATACCTTGCCAACAAAAAGCAGCCCAGTAGCATTTTCAAATCGTAGCCTCAGTTAAGCTAGAAAATAACAGGTCTCTTTCATTTTGCCGCCTGGCTTTTCTTCTGAATTAGAGCCAAAAGAGGTTTAACACAGCAATCCTTAGCATGATTACTCAGAATTAAGCCCCTCCGAGTTGTATGGCTGCTGATCCAACTGTCCATCCAGCTTTATTAAAATGTTACTTGTTAAAGGCTATTAATTACACATTATTTATATGACTCATTTTGCAGGCCTGGGAATCACTCCCAAATCTGCCTACAGATTGTATCTGTGTGTAACTCTCTCACACCCTTGTGAATTCACTTTTGAGAAAGGCTCATGGCAAGTTCTTAAATCCACATCTGCCATTTGATGGCTGCAAGATCAAGTAGCAAATATGCAGTGTAACATGGCTGCCGTTGTCCCATGGTACTATACTGGAAACCGAGAAGAAAAACGTACTAGAAGAAAGGGAAATCCTCTAGTGGCAGAGGCACATTTTTTTGCACATCAGTCTTCTGAACTCTGCTACTCTGAGCTGATGATTTTCTTATTTTCCAGCCTCACCTATCAATGATCTACAGGGACACCACCATGTTCCTCCTGTAGCTAATTCTGAAACTCTGTAGTAATTACTCTGGGAGGATGCACCTTCTGCTTCCCATCATGGCAAGGAGATAGAGCAACATGGCCCCAAGCTATAGGCTATGGAAGGAACAACTGCTGTAATGCTTGCTTGCTTCTACTCTCCCTACTCGTTTTTAACATAGGTGCAACACTTCCAAAATGGTAGGTGCTTTGTGATGACAATACGAATAAATGCGTCAGGAGGTTAGTCCACAACTGTGAGAAAGCTTGCTGGGGACAGAGTTGGAACTTTTTCTTTTCAAAGAGAATTAAATCATTTCCCAGTTGGGGAACAGGGCCTCTCCACCGCTTGAGGAATGACAGGCAGTGCCTTTTCCATTTAGGTTGTTGTTGTTTAGTCGTGTCTGACTTTTCGTGACCCCAGGGACCAGAGCATGCCAGGCACTCCTGTCTTCCACTGTCTCCCGCAGTTTGGTCAAGCTCATGCTGGTAGCTTCGAGAACACTGTCCAACCATCTCGTCCTCTGTCGTCCCCTGCTCGGTTGGGATCGCCCCCGCTCTATTTAATCACCTAAATGTACAGTATAAAGAGAATAATGCCTAAAAGCACGTGACCCTGGATTATCCCCAGGTCACCACGACGCCCCCGACGTCTCGCCCCACTGACCCACTAAATGCCGCCGCCGCTCTCGTCTGCCAGGCTGAGGACCTGGCAATCCCTTCGGGGTGTGTGCGTGTACCTGCCTCGCTCTCGTCAGACGAGCTCCATTCGCCCACCGCCCTCCCACAACAACAACAGCAGCCGTCTCTGGCAGGCGTCGGGCATTGTGAACGTTGACCCGACTGAAAGTCGAGGAGAGGGTCAGCGCTCCTCCTCCTCCTCAGCGCACGTCTGAACGCGGCGACTCGCGTTATCGAAGGCGACACGGTGCAGCGTGAGGGGGCCGGTGAGTGGAGAGGGAGAGGAAAGCAGGCAGGAGACCGGCGAGAGAGAGTGCGCAAGCAGGGGCCGGCTAAGCTGCGGGCCAGGGAATCGGACAGAATCCTCTCAGGGGGGCCAGAAAGGTGCCTGCAGCCTCGGCTGGAATGCCTCCTCCCTCGCCATTTGGCCGCCGCCAGCAGCGCCTGTGGTGTTGAGCCTCGCCGAGCTGGGCTCATGCGCATTGCCGGCGATGCTCGCGCGCTGCCCTCTCCGGCGCCACTTCTGCTCCTCCTCTCGCTGCTGCTGCTGCTGCTGTTTCTCTCTCTCTCTCCTCCTCGCCTGTGTGAGGGACTCCCTGAACTAGAAGCTGCTCGCTCTGGGGCTGCCTCTTTCTCCCTCAGCCCTGCGCCTCCCTTGCCACCGGGAAGCCTTTTTTGTGTTTGTTCTTTGCGACGTATTGCTTCCCCCCTCCCTCCGTCCCTCCATTGCGCTTTCCCACGCGCACCACCTCCCCGCCCGCGCTCCCCATTCTTCTCTTCTCTTCTCAGCCAAGCTGAGGCGAGGGAAAGTGGGGCGCTGTGGGCTCGACGCTGCTGCCAGGACCGGCTCGTTGGGACTCGGCGCCTCAGCCGGCTGCCTTTCGGAGCGTGGGGTCCTCGCTCAGCCTTAGAGCTGCAGTGCGCGAAGCCGCCGGCGGGGGCGCGGCGCCTGGAAGGATCAGAAAAAGCTCGCCAGCTCCAAAGAGAGGGAAGACTCTGCCGCCACTGCCCGGGGGACCTGCCTCTCTGGTAAGTGGAGAAAAAAAGGGGTCGCAGCCTTGACTGTGTGATGCGGGAGAAACTGCAACGCTGAACTCTTCCCGGAAAGCCGAAAGTGTAGGGGAGAGAGGAGGTGGTGGTGCCTAGCTGCGGATAGCCAGCAGTGTGGACGATGCACTCTGCAGATGCTCAGAGGCACTGCTTTTATGCCTGACGATGGTTTGGCAGAAGTGACCCTGTCGGTGAATATAGGGACCCAGGATGGGATCTCTGCTGAAATTAAAGCCCTAAAACAGGTGGAAGGGGAGATAATATCAACTTTCAAGGGTGGGCTGAGCTCCTAAATGGAGGGTGGAAGGAGCGCACACCTGCCCGGAAGCGGTTTCTCCGTGTTGATGGATAAAGAGCAATACTCTGAGAGGCAGGAGGAGAGCACAAATAGCCTGGGAATAACAGGCTGATAAAAGATCCATAATCTACTTCATTCCTAAGGGATCTCACGGATTTGCCATTTCTGCTGCGTGATAATGTTTCTAAACCAGTGTTTGGGGGACTGCAGCTTTTAGGCTGTGATTCAAAGAGCAGGTGCAGCCTTATCCTAGTTATACTTTTTGAGAAGCATCTCCCACGATATTAAGCGGCATTTGCGGTCCCAAGTCAGCCTGCCTAGGACTGCAGCAGCATTACTTGGACTGAAGAAAGTTCCATGGAAATAACTGTGACAGCTTGCAAGTTAGAAGTGTTTTAGGATTGTGGTGCTGGGTAATCGACATCAGCTAGCGTTTGTGGTAGCAGCAGGCTGTGTGTGACGATGTGTAGTGGTTTTATGTTCCATCTCATCTCGCTGGGTGGTCTAGGGCAAATCTCAGTTTAAATTAAAGTGAAGGAAGGGATAAATGAGATAAGAATTGTAAACATACTTGTGGCTGAGAGGCACTTTGGAATGTGGAATAATAATATTGCAGTGAGAGGGGCAGCTGTAGTCAAGGGGAGAGAAACAGGCTGCAAAGCTATTTTCATTTACCAGGAATTCAACTCAGGGAGGCTTACTTTTGAGTAGGCATGTACAGGATTCCACTGGATGAGAGGCATGCATGGCACAATATCTACAGAAACTAGCTGACCAACCTCAGATCGCTTGGTCTCATAGTCTCTGTTTTTGTTTAGGTGCCAAAAATTAGCATCAAAATCCTAAAATCAGATTGCATCCTTTAAGCTTTCCAAGTTTGCATTCTTATTTGGAAGTAGCAACATGAGAGGTCTAGCAGTAGTGGTTATGCATTGGGGTGTCAGCTGTTTGATAGCAGTTTTTGTCTGTGATCTCATGCAATGCAATCAGCTTCAATGGAACTATCTCTGAGTAGTTTGTCGGTTGCGATACAAGCAGCTGGGGTTTGTAGTGACATTTAAACTGGGAAGTTGGGATGGGGCGGAGACTTCATTAGTAAGGATGAAAATCCATACTGAAGGGAGAGAGGGAGCATGTGATGAGAATAAGTGGGTGTACATAGCCAGCCTGTGCAATTTACTCTAGCACTCTGGGGTTATTCACTTCCAGATTATCTGATCATAGATCATGTGGCACCTAATGGATTGCTGCCAAGTCTGAATAACCAGTCGCAAAGGAGCTCTCCTGTTCGGGTGTTTTCTATACCAGTCTCTTCCAGTTTACATTTTTGTTAACTAATCCCAAGTGTGCTCAGGTTTTTGGGATGGTGGAGAAATTTGATTCAGTTTGCATTCAAATAATAATAATAATAATAATAATAATAATAATAATAATTTATTATTTATACCCCGCCCATCTGGCTGGGCTTCCCCAGCCACTCTGGGTGGCTTCCAAAAGAATATTAAAATACTATAATACATCAAACATTAAAAGCTTCCCGAAACAGGGCTGCCTTCAGATGTCTTCTAAAAGCCTGGTAGTTGTTTATCTCTTTGACATCTGGTGGGAGGGTGTTCCACAGGAAGGCGCCACTACCGAGAAGGCCCTCTGCCTGGTTCCCTGTAACTTGGCTTCTCGCAGTGAGGGAACCGTCAGAAGGCCCTCGGTGCTGGACCTCAGTGTCCGGGTAGAACGATGGGGGTGGAGACGCTCCTTCAAAGGCAAATTTGCCCAATTTCTAAAACAATATAAAAAGTGAAACACCACAGTCCTTCCAGATTTGTGTCATTTGTGTTGTGGGCTGGCCAAGTTTGGATGATGCAGAGTTAGGGTGGGGAGTTTGCCGAGGACCCAGGGGAGGGCTCCAGCAGGGATCAGAGATCTGCTGGAATTGGGGCAACTTGATAGTGAGGATTTTTTTTTGGGGGGGGGAGTCCCTTCAACTTGGTCTCTCACCTTACCTGACTCCATGATGAGAGCCATGAACCCCACCTCCTCCTCCTTCTCCGTCCCCATCTTCCTCTTCACAGCTGTCAGCGTTTTGGTGCCTGTTGTGCCACCTGCCCTGGTGCTGTCAGATGCCCACCCATTTCTCAGGGGGCAGAGACACCAAGAGGTACCAGAGAAGGAGAGAACAGATGGTTCCACCTACTAGGCATAGTGAGAAATTGTAGTAAGACTTGCTGCACTAATATGAGCCTGCCCCATTTCTCTGTATGGGATAGCAAGGGTGTGTTTCAGTGCTGGATCAACACCTGAAACTCCGGGAGTTAGATATTTGTTGTTGAAATCAATTATGTGTGTTGCCTGAAGTGCCGTAAGCTAGTGATTTGCATATGTACTGCAGCAGTCTGAACATTACACAGAATCCTCCTTTGAACCTTCATTCTTCAGCAAGGACAATTTGTACTTCTTTAAATTTTGCAATGGATCTCTCCAGCCATATACACAAAAATGTGTATACTACAGTGTGCAAATAAATGCACAGCATTGTGAGTTTGAGGGGCGGGGATAGGCTGTATGTCTGTCCAGTTTCTGGATCCAGCAGGGATTCAAATTGCCCAAGTACGGTAAGTTTATTGGTCATGGCCCAAGTATGGGTCATTAAGGTAACAAAGGAAGTGGCTCTGTGCCAAAGGACAAATGGGGGGACTCCAATCCCTCAAATGTCTGTTAGTTAGAATGAAAGAACCGAGTTGTGTGTGTGTGAACTAGAAGCTGCAGGCTGGGCAGCTGAGAGACAGAGGCATGCCTGATTTCTGCTTGAATCCAAGGTTGTGGCTATGGGAGAAGAAAGACCACAGTCTCTGCTGTCCCTCATTCTGAGGAAACCAAACCCTAGATAAGCCCCTGGAACCCCTGGAATCTCTCACCACTTGGAGATTGGGGCAGCATGCAACAATATTAATGTGGTTGTTGTTTTTTTTAAAAAAAGCATTATATTATGGGGAAATGCATATATAAAGATACATAGTAAAAAAACTTCTCGCAAAAATGCTGAGAAATTTTCATTAGAAGGTTTTTTTTAAAAAAAAAATGAAGCTGTTGAGGAAATCTGGAGAACTGGACTTAAGACTGGAAAAATGAGAATATGAGAGAAACAGAAATTGACCTGTTTTGTCCCTCCCTAACTAGGATTTCCATTTCCTACTCAATCCAAATGTTGCAATACATGTATAAAATCTTTACATAATGATACATATACATTATATTTATAAATTCACATTTTTCCTATTTCATTATGTACCAACAGTTATCCATTTATTATTTCTTGCCCTGTGTCTTCCCTCCACCCGTGCGTGACTTCCTTGCACTTCTAACTGTGGTTGTGTGTGTTGAATGCACTGAGCCAGTGATTTGACGGAAAGATACATTTGCCATGTATTGACCATCATCTGTTTGTATCTAACCAGCACATAAAGTTGCTGCTAGGAAGCATTTCCACTTTCCCTCTCCGCTGCATTCCCTCACATGTTTCTTTCCAAGGTTAAGTTCCATGAGGCGCAGGGGATTGCCACTGGAAGAATGTTGCTCCTCTCTGTGTGCACACGAGTAGAGCCACTTCCCCTTCTGATGTGGAGGCATATGTGTGCATGTGGAGGCCTCCATGGCAAATAATCCCACTGTTATTTGAGGGGCAAACCCTTAGCAACTCATGCAACGGAAAAGCTTTTCAGCTGCACAGCACTAATAGACCTAATTATCTATACACACAGCCAGTGATTTATAAGTGGTTGAACTGTAATGCTTTGAATAGTAGAGCTCTTTGACCTTTCATTCTGATCTGTCACCCAGGTATCTGGCTTTAAGCACAGTAATATATCATCAGTGATTCTGAATACTTGAACTGATTAAATATGTAACACTGAGCAACTGAACAACAAAAGCAGGAAAACACTTGTTTCTTGTTATATATATATTTAATTAAAAAAATACATTTTGTAGTTAATACCATAGTATCATTTTGATCTGCTTGGGGTTTCTCCCTGTGTGTTTTTTTCCATCTTACGGAATATTATTTGCTATTTCCACTTGATAATGGTGAAAGTCTTATGAGTACACCTTAATAACCTTGTATCACATTGGGATTCTGCCAATGCAAAGTATTCTCAGGATAACAGCCCTGGGACCAAGCAAACATAGTGGTGAAGTAGTGGTATAATACTATCACGAAACTGTACCTCTAAGGATGCACAAGGGTTCCTTTCATGTGTACCTGCTGCGGCCTAGTCTTTTGCAGTAGCTTATGTAGTCAAGCGGGACGCGGGTGGCGCTGTGGGTTAAAGCCTCAGCGCCTAGGGCTTGCCGATCGAAAGGTCGGCGGTTCGAATCCCCGCGGCGGGGTGCGCTCCCGTTGCTCGGTCCCAGCGCCTGCCAACCTAGCAGTTCGAAAGCACCTCCGGGTGCAAGTAGATAAATAGGGACCGCTTTCTAGCGGGAAGGTAAACGGCGTTCCGTGTGCTGCGCTGGCTCGCCAGATGCAGCTTGTCACGCTGGCCACGTGACCCGGAAGTGTCTCCGGACAGCGCTGGCCCCCGGCCTCTTAAGTGAGATGGGCGCACAACCCTAGAGTCTGTCAAGACTGGCCCGTATGGGCAGGGGTACCTTTACCTTTACCTATGTAGTCAAGCAATTCAAAACT